TTTAAACTTAATACTAATACTTAATTCAAATTTTTAAATCAATTTTAATTTTTAAATCTCAATATTATAGAATTGATTTACATTACAAACTAACACTTCTGACATAATTAATATTTAAGGAAAGCCTATAAGTACCAGTATATTAGTACGAATTACTTGTGATATGAAAAAATCTGGAAATAGTTGTAGGGAACTTATAATTAAATCAAATTCCCAAATCAATTTCTGTTAATATCAGAACCATAAATTGAAATTGATTTGGGAATTTTCAAATCTAAGTTCCCAACAACTATTAGACACATTTGACACATTTGATATTTAAGTAAAGTGTTTAAATATGTCAGAAGTGTTAGTTAGTAATGTAAATCTATTCTATAATATTTAGATTTACAAATTAAAATTGATTTAAAAATTTGAATTAAGTATAAGTTTTAAGTTAAAATATATAGGGGTTCAAGTTTTAAAAGTCACTTCAAAGATATAGATGACTATGAAACTAATTTCCTTAAATTTCTGTTGCAGACATCATAAGTATAGTTAGTACAAATGGCACTGTGTTTACAAAGTCATGTTTATCTATTCCTTTATTATCAGAATTACAAATTGAAAAACATTGCTTGATTGATTATTATTGGCTGCTTAGTTGATTAATTAATTACTTTCCACACTTAAAAAGTGTGTAAGTCAGTGTAGTAGGGTTTGGAAGTCCCTTTTAAGAAAATTCCCAAATCAATTTAAATTTCTCTTTTTTATGAATGGGAAAAATGTCTTGGATGAGTTTAGAACAGGGCTTCAGCAGAATGTGGAAAAAATGTGTTATACATGTGGGGAGAACACAAATCATAAACAAATTCAAATCTTAGAGAAGAGTGATTATTTAATGCTTAGGTCTTTAAATGACTATTCTGAAAAGGAAGTAGATCTTATCAAGGAAATTGAAAATATAGGTATTTTGTCTCTTGTAGGATTTGCAACTAGGAAGGGAGATGCTACTGGAAAATCTGGACATTGGTGGTACACCAGAGTGATGCATGATGGAACTAGTGTCAAGCTTGATGGTGAGAAGTTACATCATCAAAATAACATTATAACCTCAAGATCTCTCTCTGATGGCAACCTCTTTGTTTACAAGATACTACCAAAAGATGCCTCTTTCTCTTTAAACCCTCCAACAACTGTTTGTGTTGATTTCCCGAAGGTAGTGGGTTTTGAAGATGTAGGATATAAGAAGGTTTGTATTAGCTACCAGAATGAGGGAAATGAGAAGATTATTGATATTGTTCATGGAAAGTCTATGGTTTCTGGGTTGGATAGTGTAGTTCTTACTGTAAAAAGGATTACTTGTGTAGTAAGTGGATGTTTTTCAACCTTTTCAAGAAATGATGTAATGCTTAGACATCTATGGGAAAAGCACAAGATGCAAAGGGATGATCCTATTTATCCTGGAAACCAAAGTTTTGTATTTGGGGATAAAGGTAAGGATGGGGGGGAAGTAGGTCCTGATCCTAAACCTACCCAGGTTCAGGACACTGTGGGTGAAGGCGGTGAAGTTGGTGCCCAGATTCTGGATACTGAAGGTGTAGATATGGAACTAGGTAGTGAATCTGAACCTGCCCAGGATCAGTACACTGATGTTGAATGTAGTGAATTAAGTGATTCTGAACCAGAGCCCTCTAAGAAGAAAAAGAAAAGATCTCAAAGACAAAGAAGTGCTTTACATATTGAAAACTACTCCTCTGATGACTCAGAAGAAGAGACAAGTTCTGAATTTTCAAATGAATTTTCTTTATCTAAAGTAAGTTGCCTTGAGGAATTAGTTGGTGAGGATGCAGATGATTTTGAAAATATGGGATATTCTGGTAATGCAGAGGATTCATTTGTTCAAAACTCTTTGCAAGAGGATAGAGTTTCAGGTAATACTCTGGGGAACTATGAAAATTCAATCTTTCTAGAAGAAGATGTAGGAGTGTCTTTCAGAAAGAGCATAAGTCAGGTGTTTGATTCCTCTATATTGGATAATAATTTGGTTAAATTTAATGAAAATTTTGATGAAGATTGTGCTTTTGATCAGGATAAAAGTGAACACTTTTTGATCCAGGATTTAATGGAGGGTGGTCTTGGAGTAGAGGAATCTAAGTCTGATTCTGATCCAAGTGAAAAATTAGAACTCCTAAAACAGAAATTAAAAAGTATATCTGATGAAATAAAGAGAATTGAGAAAGAGAAAAAAAAAAAGAATGATGGAAAGAGCATGATCATAAAAGCCGAAATAAGTAAAATAGATAAGCTAAGCAAAAAGAATGATATTAAAAAGTCCCACAAGAAGCCTGGAGTAGT